GAGAGAGAGAGAGAGAGAGAGAGAGAGAGAGAGAGAGAGAGAGAGAGAGAGAGAGAGAGAGAGAGTCCTGTGTGAGTGGCAGCCATAGCCACTGGTGTACATGCAGGAGATTTTGATGCTTTGGATGTTGAATTTTCAAACAAGTTTTGCTGCATTCACATATCGTGTTGATTTGCGACTCGCCTGTGGAGTCCTGTGTGATGAAGTGTGACCTCATGATGTTGCAAGCAGCAGTGCGAATTCCATGCTTTGTGAGTTTAGCCTATGAGAGGCTAAACTCCTGTTCCTGACGACACACTAACGTTGTCTATCATGTAGCGGAGGGCGGCAGTTTGACCCAATTTCAGCTATAGCCACGGGTATACTTTTTGTGAATAAAGCAAATGTCAAACAGCTGCTGTGATTTACCTGCTGCTGGTGTTTACCGTGTACTTGAGGGAGGCTGTGGACATTGAATTGAGTACGCAGCACCGTTCCGATGCTGTTGCCACTGGTGGCCTGTAACTGTCCAGGACATTGAGGAAACCAGGCCACCAAGTGGCAACAGCATTGGAAGTGTGCTGCGTACTCAATTCAACACAGAGAACATCCGCTGGAGGCGCTGAACCATTTGAATCTCTGGATTTTCGAGTGGGCCAAAGGGTTCATGGTACCTACCACGCTTCGCATGCACCAGCAGAGGAGCCTAAATCGATGGACTTGTCCCGTGAAACCGAGCACATGGCATGCTTGAGCGTTCTTTTTTTTTTTTTTTTAATTGAGAAAATGGTATGTGATAGGTATCAACCCTGCTCTTCTTGCCTGGCGTCTCTCAGCCCCATCTTGGCTCCCCTCCACCAGGTGCATTCTTCATATATACCAGCACATCTGTTTGGGAGTCTGAAATATAGCGATTCATAAAATTTGTTTACATACTATGTCTGTACTACTCTGTAGGGATGATAGCCTCTACTGCCTCCTGTTTGACTTTGGTTCCTGTTTTGGTAATTCTGCTAGCAGTTAGGGCGCTGTACTTCCATTTTTGGTATGGCTGTTGTTAGATGCCGTAGGGCCGTGCAGTTGTGGTTCAACAATGGTGCTGTGCCATCAGATCTGGTTTAACCACCAGTTCGCATGAGCCTAAGTTGACAAAGCTACCTTCCAACGCCTGCGAGTGTGCAACTGCGCCTTCTCGAAGTGGCCTGCCGCTTTTGCTACCGGCCCAGGTCCGAAGCAAAACAGTCTTTCCCGCGTATGCCAGCAAGGCCACAACTTCAGCTCGTGTGAACTGGTGGTTTAAGAATCTGAGTGGGTTGGTTCGAACCCAATTTGCACTGCGAATTTGCGAAATGGACTGTGGTCACATCCACGAATTCTGCGTGGGCCATAGCCCCACGAATTCTGCCAGCAAGGCCACAACGATGCATCGGTTCTAAACTATTGAGGGCTGAAAAGGGTAACATTAAGTCCTCTAAATGCTATCACGGTTGGGTGCAGCCAGTTGCCATCGGCCATTGTGCGGATAGATTCTTCACTGTGATTTTGATGCGTTTCTCTAATGACAGCGGAGCAGGGCCGTCTGTTTAGCCCACACTACCCCACAGTGTGTAAGCTTCCGTTATGCGCTGGAGCGTGGCTTTGAAGATGCAGGGTCATGGACCGCGGACCGAAGTTACTGAACTGCTCGTTTTTCTCCTCTTTCTGCATGGCAAGCACCCTTCCTCACTGAGAACCGAGAAGAGTGGCGTGTGAAGGGAACGTATATCATCGAGGGGGGTTGCAGTCTGCAGTATCTGCGCAAGACCTTGAGATGTTAGCACAGGGTCTAAAGGCTCTAAACTAATATGACACGTGCCGATGGGGACTTCTGTTTTTCCTATTGGGTGATGTGCTTGCTGGTGGTATGACTTTCTTTGAGAGTAGTCTTCCTCCGAACACAACACACCGTTGAACATGCCCCTTGTGTACGCTCGTTTTCAGGGTTTGTTATGTTCGGGGGACGACGGTAGTGGAGTTTCCCCCAGTTTACCTGTTCTTCTATGACTGGAAGAAGTCAGGAATTTGTGAACTGTCCGCGTCAGATATCAGAGCCTGTCAGAGAGGGAGTGTTATGCTGTCAGTTGTCAGCACTGTGTATTTGATAGAGCGTCCCTCACAAGATGCGTGTGCTCTCAGTCGTTATCATTGTGTTAATTGAGACTGAGCATGCCTCCATCGAGTTGGATCAGTGCGCAAAGAAGATAATGTGATGAATTACCCGTAAGGTTCTGGAAGCTGGTGGGCCTCCATCGAGTTGGATCAGTGCGCAAAGAAGATAATGTGATGAATTACCCGTAAGGTTCTGGAAGCTGGTGGGCATTGGGCATTTGGCTAATGGGGACTGTTGAGTCCGTATGATTTTGTGTCTTCTGTTTTCTGCATGATGCCCACGAGTGTGATGTCTGTCTGAAATGGCTAGGCCACCTTGCCGGGAGGTGCCTGAATAACTTGGGGTGATTTTTCTCTTTCTCATCTGCATGCCGTCTGCAGGTTATTGCGGGCATCTTAAAGAGGATTGATCGTAAGATTCCCGTGACAAACGTAAGTGTATGAGTGGCCTGTGCATGCGAGACCGTTTATGCGTGCGTGTGATATCGATGTGGGAAGAAAGCTGTTCTGTGAAGGCTGGAGGAAGGGCTGGCAGCAGGGGAGACCGAGGACACAGAGGAAAGCAAAGCCTATGTCAGCAATGGGGTTATTGCACCACCTTTCCTGTGAGCGGAGCATCCGTCGACCAGGAGAAGGGTGTGTGTGGCAGGAAAGATGCAGCAGAGAGGAGGGAGGAGGGAGGAGGGTGGTTGGGAGGGAAGGATCGCCTGGGCGTTTGAAGGTGTGGACGGATCTCTGTGTGGGTCATGCTGGCTGCGGCTGCAGGAAAAGAAGTTGCCCGAGTGTAGTAGCTGTGTAGTGTCGAGAAGGAAAGATGGTTGGGGGGGTTCGTGCCGCTGCGGCTCAAGTTGTGCACCGGAAGGGGGCGATGGTTAGAATAAAGATGCTGGCTATGGAGGGTGTAGGCAAGGACTGCCAGGAGGGTAATTTTGCCGAATTGTGTATTTTAAATCTGGGGCGATCTTTGTTGGTGTGGCAAAAGTAAAGACATGCGTGGGGGGAAATCACGGGGGATGACTTTGCCTCTACGTTGTTATTGTCAGTTGTTTTTGGCTTGTTGTAGAGCAAAATCATTATTGTGAAGTAATTTGGCTTTGAAAGCCATGAAACCTTCCAGCTGTGGACTCACTGTAGTTTTGCAGGGGAGAGTCATGAAGAACATATAACTGCCACAAGCAGTTGCTATTGCAGTGTGTTAGCAGTCTCCGCAAACATCTTTTGCTATGAAGTTTTGGAGGGCGTATGCTCTCGTTCTATTTCCTGACGGATCATGCACAACCACCCGCTGGATATTTTGGGGTATCCCATCATCTTCCGGACGTGGTTGTGGGCGGAGCATTCCGTGCATATGCCGAGGCCTTGAAGGGTCGCGCCTGTGTTATTTATTGATCACGGTTATTCCTCAGCGCTTGCTGATTTGTGTGTGTGCATGCGTGCGTGTAAATGACGAAAGGTTTCTGCGAAGCAACACACCTTGTTCGTGCATTGCTGACCGAGTCCGACTTCGCAGGGATGTATGCTAGAGAGAGAGAGAGAGAGAGAGAGAGAGAGAGAGAGAGAGAGAGAGAGAGAGAGAGAGAGAGAGAGAGAGAGAGAGAGAGAGAGAGNAGAGAGAGAGAGAGAGAGAGAGAGAGAGAGAGAGAGAGAGAGAGAGAGAGAGAGAGAGAGAGAGAGAGATGTCGTGATTGGACAATTACCGTTGGTTTTGTTGCAGCGAATGCACCTTCTGTTCCTCATGTGGTTGACTAGAATGCCGGGATTTTCCTGGATGAGCTGCGTGGTTGGGTAAGCTGTCGAGTTGCAGCCGCAGCCTTGGTGGAGTGAAATTCTGCTCGTGGGTTGCGGCCGGGGATGGGATGTATGTCTTGTCGGCTCAAGGAGGAGTGATTAGGAAACCCTCTTAGCAAGGGTGCCCTTTGTGAGTAGTCGCAAGATGTGGGGTCATGAGCATGATGGTCAGCACCGCAAGTGTGAGCCTGCATTAATAGTCTCTTCTCCGCCTGCGTCATAATGAGTCCTTCCCGTGGTCACTGGCTGATGAGGAATTGTGATCTTTTCTCGGCCTGTCGCCACCACATCTCTCTTTTCCGCCAGTGTTCAGTCTTAACTGGCCTTGGATTGTGTATGCCTCTCTTATGGAGTCGTTTGCATAGTAGACCATATGTGGACTGCTGCTGCAAGGTACTACTAAACTGTTTTGCGTTCTCTCACTAGATGGATATGAGCAAGCAAAATCTGATACATAAGATGCACGTCTGTGGCCAGAGATGTGAGTCAAAGCATAGCAGTTTTGCATTATCTTGTGCGTCGTGAGTTGGGAAGTGCCGAGACAGATGTAAGTTGTACCACTTCAGTTTCATATTGTCTTGTGCCAGCGTGTAGTCGACTTGTCGATGAGTTCAATCATATGTATTTTGTGCGGCATTGAATTTCTGTTTTATGCTGTGTGACATTTGCCGCTCCACGATGGGGAGCGGGTAGATCGAACACTGGAGGGGAAGGAAAAAGGTTAGATATGCATACTCGGTCCATATTGAGGGAGGATCTCTCTCAAGGAGAGTGAGGAAGTACGTGACAAACTGGCAGGTTATGAGGGGAAGAAGAGGAAGGAAGTGATTCCATCTTGAGGGAGGATCTCTCTCAAGGAGAGTGAGCAGGAGATGAGGAGGTAAGTGACAAATGCGGGCCATATTTACTATGGGATAATTCATAAGGGCAGGGTTCACGATTGGGGGGTAGGAGGTTGAAGTTGGGGGCTGGGGAGGGGGAGGGGAGTGAGCGGGGAAAGCTCCGAGGATGGTAGTCACTCGAAAGACAGACGTAATTCAATAATGAGAAGGTGATGAATGAACTTGACAGTGTTGACACATTATATACACTATTCGAATAAGCAGTCCTTGCTGTCACTGCGCCGAAGGTGTTTTCTTTTTCCCTACCTTTTGTTATTGGCTCCTGTCTATTGGTGGGGCTTGTCACAGCATCCCAAATACATCCAGCTTTGTATGGGTTCTTTTTTTTTTTTTTCAAAATTAGCATTATTTTATTCATCTACTTCCAGTGGCGAATTGGAACACAGGTTTGTATTTCAACAGTTCAGGGGGTGTACCAACTGAGCTGGGCCAGTCGGTACTGGGAGTTTGGGAGTATCGTTCTGTTTTTCCTGTTTTTTTTTTCTCTAACAAGTGGACCTGTCGCAGCTATGCTCTGCTGCAAAGGACGATGACAAAAACATTTTGCAAAACACCCCAGACATTGGTTGGACCCCATCTTTGCAATGTACCCCTAACAGACGCCGTCCAACCTTGCAAAATGGCCCTGTAGTTGTCAACTTTTCGTAGGTGCAGTTGCAAAATGCCTAGGCGCAAATGGGGAGGCTGAGATTGCGAATTTGCACACCCCCCTGACAGGGGCATAACACAGATGCCAGCCCAAAAGGCCATTCCATTGTGCCCAGATCTTTCAGGGACATTTTGACATATATCTAATCTTATGGGGGTATTTGTCTAATCCCCCCCCCCAAACTAATGGTGGGCTCTGGACTCTCATGCATCCTGTTTGCACCAGGCCCACCCCAGGCACGGCCATTATCTGGCCCTGGTGATATTGAGGGTGTTTGTTTTAGAACATGAGGGACGCGCAGCAGTCGGGGCACGGGGAACCCAAGTTTCAGCTCCTGACTAACAGGTCCAAAACTGAAATTAGGGTTTGGGGGTCTTTTCTTTTTCCTTTTTTTTTAATTTTTTTCTTTTTTTTGTTGTTTTGCTCGCCTCTTTCTGTTTTGGTTCAAGGTTGTTGTGTACCAGATTTGGTCTCATTTGGAGCCTTGGAATTTGCTCTGCTAAGATTTCTGAAATTTCTCAAGATTTTTGAAACTGAATGTTGGCGAAATTTGCATTTAAGTGCGCTTTTGCCTTGCTGTTTTGTAGGGTTTTTTATTATTATTTTCGGTTTTTTTTTTTTCCAGTTACTAACTATGGTCTGTACTCTATGACTTGGTGGCGAGTTTGGTTGAAATGACCCTTGAATTTTGTTATAAATGGTATGACCAGTTGTCTGAACATTAGGGTCTCTGTTAACCGCCTTGCATTCGGGGGGGCAACGGCCAAGGCAGTCTGAACATTACGGTCTCTGTTAACCGCCTCTCATTCGGGGGGGCAACGGGCAAGGCATCAGCACATCGTTGGATCCTTTGTAAATCAGAACTATTGTATTGTGGTCACCGCTGGATTCAAACTTGCGTCTGCAATTCAACAGTTTTGTGTGCATGAGCTGAGCTGCCTGCCAATGTGCAAAATGAGAAGGAATCTTCCGAAAGAAAATAGGAAGATAAACTGCGACGTACAGAGACATTGGAAAGAAGCGTGTGCGCGCACGTGAGAGAGAGAGAGAGAGAGAGAGAGAGAGAGAGAGAGAGAGAGAGAGAGAGAGAGAGAGAGAGAGAGAGAGAGTACCTCCATCGATAGGATGCGCAAAATTGGAACGAGTCTTTCGCTAGAATATGGAAATAACACTGCTTTCCAGCCATGCGCGCAGAGAAATAGAGAGAAGCTACTTCCATCGATAGGATGAGTAAAATCGGAATGAATCTTCCACTAGAACACGGAAATATACACGGCCATAGGATTAGCAAAAATGGAATGAAACTTCCCCTAAAACATGGAAATACACACTGTCTTTTTTTTTTTTTTTTTTTTACTTCTTTTTTTTGTGTGTATTTAATAGAGTGATATATAGATATTTTTCATTTCAATTCAATGAAAAAAAAATATATATAGTTTATTTTTAAGATACTGTTTTTCTTTTTTTTGAACCTGTAATGTGTGAGAGGGAGAGATCATGGTACTTCCATCAATAGGATGAGCAAAATTGAATCTTCCGCTAGAACATGGAAATATACCCTTTCCTACAGCCCTCCCGTTTTGCACTGGACCTTCCACCGAGCGCTGCTCGGTCTGCACCTTTCCGGGAAGTGCACTTTTTTGGCCCGCGTCGTCCTGCTCGACCGCTCCCCACACGGGCCGTGTGTCCATTTTGTACTTTCCCAACTTTGTGAACGGGGCCTCGTGTGAGATGCTCACGCAAGACCCTCTAGACAAAAGTCTAAAACACGTTCTCCTTTTTGTCTCTTGTATGGCGTCAAATTGTCATTGCCTATGGTGGTGTTTTATGGACAATTGGTCGTGATGCTGTGGGCACGATCATCTAATGTGGCGCCCACTTGCCTCATCCAACGCTAATTGTTTTGCGAGCGAATGGATGAAACATCCGTCCCCTGCCCTGTCAACAGCCTCATCGCATTACAGCTTTATGGAAGATTCTGTGGGGGAAACTATGAGGGGTGAAAAATAACAAGACAAATAATTAAAAAACAGCAGTGTTGGGGGCCAGAGGAGGTGCAGGGGGCAGGAGTGTGGGGGTGGCAGGCGCGGTGGTGCGGGGGTGGGGGTGCAGGCCGGGGCCGGGGGTGCCGGGGTTGGGGCAGGGGCAGGTTTCGGGTTCAAGGATCCCTGCAGCGAGGTTATGGGGTTGAAACCCTTACCTCGGCTTGGGCCGCGCGGATCCCCGCTTGACAAGGCTGCATTTAAGCCACGTGGCTTAATTTTGCTGGTGCCCAACTGATGATAGTCATACGCCATGTGGCACTTTCCCCACAACATGTTGTGCCCGTCTGTATTTTTCAAAAAATTTATGTTTGATGTCGGAGACAGGCGGGTATGGCTTTGTAGATCAGATAGACGTAATGTCCGCATGTTCGAAATTTTAGGTTGTTGCCTATCGTAGCGATTTATGGACAGAGGTTGTGATGCTGACAGTTAGTACAACTTCGTCGGCACGTCCATCGAACATGGCACCCATTCGCCTCATCCAACATTGAAAGTCACCCGAGTAGGATGGATGAAACATTTGTCTCATGTGTCATCAACGGCCATTAATCTGACCAAACATAATGTTGCAGTATGTTGATGTCCCTCGCCGTGGTACAGGAATTGACCCGCATTGGCAATAAAACGACTTCGAGCGTGGATTCGATCAAAAATATCACTGTCCGTCATCCACCCTCAATGTAACATTTACAACAACCTCTCTAACCCTTCCCACCCCTTTCCCACCACCTTCCCCTGCCTCCTAAAAGCCTTCTTTCCTTGGAATGTGGTATCCCCCATCACCCCGCCGCACTGGAGGAAGGGCTACTACTCCTGGGTGGTAAGGCGAGGCGTGTTATAATATGTGGACTGGATGGCTTTGCGGGCGGGCCATTACACCCCGAGGCAATTGGGCCAGTCCGCGTGGGCTGGATGCTACAAATATATAAGAGCCGAAAAAACTAAAAGGGAAAGCTTAGGGCTATACAACAAAAGAAGACACATCCGGGGTCAATGTGTCTCCAGCCAAGAATCTATGGCATAGCCCAGCCCCTGTAGACACGGACGTAACAAATAGTAAGCTCAACAAACTGAGGTTGAGATACTTACACCAGTGAACTTGTTAAATATTGTTTGAAATACAAATGAAGTATCCAAGGGAACGATGAATAAAAGAAAGCCATGCTCATACTGGAACCTTTTTACTTATTTTTGGATGGAATTGCGGTAAGGTACATCCTAGTCGGGGCTTGAATAAGGCAGGATGCATTTAGGTAGTGTTACTCTGAGAGCAGCCCGAAACGGTTGTTCTTTTTTTTTTTGTCCCCAAAATATTTTTGAACGACCTGGGGTCGGGTTTTGAGCCCGCGACCTGGTGGGCAATTATCTAGTGTTTCGAATAGAAGTACGTAGCGAGGTGACAAATTGTGTATTTGACTGTGTACTTGTATTCAGGCACACACATGTTCGAATATTGTGTACTTGTATTTTAGCACGCACATGTTCGAACACAATTACATAGTGCGGTGACAGACTTCGCACTTGTATTCGAACATGCGCGTTGTCGGACCAAATACCCTTACTTACAAAGGGTATTTGGCCATGTTTTTATAGTCGACATATCGATTGCACCGACCGCCGTGACGGAGTCGGTCTAAACTTAAAAATGTATGCGTTCTTCGTGCGACACTTTAAAATGATTTCCTCGATTATTGAGGTCGGGGAAATCACTGAGAAAAATTGTTAAGGATGCGCGCGCATCATTGTGACGCGTGCTGTGATGTTTAGGATCGGTAGTAATATCCTGCGACTGTAAAGGTCGAAGGGTTGATTGGGTTAGTATTGTGTCGGGTAGATCTATGACACACACTGAGACTTGGTCTGGTACCTGTCTACATACCCATACCAGGTGTTTAAAAATGTCAGCTTTTGTCTTCTTTTGTTCGACTTCGAGTACTCGGTGCATCTCTCTCTACTTGGTGTAGTACCGACCTACCTGCTAATTGAGTATTTCCCGCCGCTCTCAAATGTCGCGGGTCTTTTTACCCGCTACTTGAGTGTTTTTTCCGCCGCGACCCTCAATGTTGCGGCCTCAGCTAAGTATTGGCCCTTCGGGTCTTCCGATCAACTAAGTACCCATGCGGGTCACAGAAACACTCAAGCCGACAAGCACTCAGACAAGGATGCAGGACGTGCAGGCCGGTAAGTGTGCACGCACGCAGAGTTAGAAATGGGTTCAGGCCACTAGGCGGGCTGAGCCCCACTCCTCTACATATGCTTGAGTTGCTCCTCTTCCACTCGAACTAGGAGAAAGCTCAGTGGGTTTTGGTGCGGATTGGGAATCAGGTGACTCGAGGATCAAATCCATCCAACCCCGAGCTAGCTCTTTTTTATGAAGAACTTTGCCTTGGCCTTCACCCGACTTCGGACGACCGGGGCTTGAACCCGCGACCTTGATGATAGAATTAGTTAGAGTTAGTTGGTTAGTTAGCAACAATTGTA